GCCTCTCTTTTGTTTCTGATGCAGTGTTTTTATTGACAAAACTAAATTATTTTTCCAGTAGACTGTCCCACCATCTGAACTTGGCTGCAGGCCTCCTGCTGTGCTGTCACTAACATGTCTTCCATACCCTATCACATTTTATCACATGTATAGACGAATATAGATAATCCCACAGTGAAGAACCATCACAAGGATCTCTCGTGCTACCCTTTTATAGTCATAGCCACCTCTTTTTTTCCCCTTGCTTAACCCCAGAGACACTAATTTTTCTGAACTTCTGCAGTTTTGCTAATACTGTAAAGGAAAATACAGGGAATTATACAGTACCTCCTTCTGAGATTGTTTTTTTTCATTCAGCTTAATTCTCTTGAGAGCCATCAGATGATACTAATAGTTTATTCTTTTTTATTGGTATTTCTGACCATTCATTAGAGAACATTGGGTTGTTTCAACTTTGGAGAACTGTATTGGATGTGCTATAAGCATTCATATACAGGTTTTGTGTCAACCTAAGTTTTTGCTTTGTGGCATAAATACCCAAGAACAGAATTGCTGGGTTAAATGACAGGTATGTTTAGTTTTGAACAAAGCTACCATATTCCTTTTTCTGAATGGCTCTACCACTTTGTGTGCCCTCTCCGAATAAATGAGGTACCTAATTTTGCCAACATTTTGGTTATTATGTTTTATTTTAGTCCTTCTGATATCTTTGTAAATAACAATTTTTGAATTCTATTGTTCCTTCTAATTTTTAAAGGTATAATTCTTTTATAAAGAACTTTTCCTTAATAGGCATTTGATAACCATGGAATACAGTCTCTTCAAGAAAGGAAGGATAAAATGTTCAGTTTTCTTTTTTCTTCACACCCTTCCCATAAGTCAATTTTCAGAAAAAACAAAACTGCCCTGCTAGCCTTTTGAGTGACTAATTAGCTTTTTTTTTTAAGTGTTATTATGAACTCATAGATTTAAAATATGTTTGATGTGATTATCTTCCTAGGGTGAATTACTAGAAGAATAATTGTCATATGAAAGGGTAGGAAAATTTTTGTAAAATTTTAGTTTAAATTACCCTTCTCATCTGTAGAAAGGCTGTACCATTCATGTTCTTAGCAAAGTACATGAAAATACTTATTTTTCCATATCCTTGCCACCATTGATAGTTGGCCAGTTTTTAATTTTTACCAATCTGATGGTGAAATTGATATCTTATTATTTCTATTACAGTTCTTTAGTTGAAAGTGAAGTTGGTCTTTTCACACTTATTGTCTTTTTAGAATTTAACCAATTTCTGTTACTGTCTTAGTTACTTTTATTATTGCTCAGACAAAATACCCAACACCCAAAGTTAAAGGAGTGAAGGTTTATTTGGTTCATAGTTCAATAGAGGCTTTAGTTCATAATCCCAAGGCAGGGTGGCATAGCAAACAGGCATCACCGAGAAACAGTTCATGGCAGGCAGAAGATAGCAAAGCAAGCAAGGGACAACCACAACTCTATATCCCTTATATCTTATCCAGGCAACTTAGGGTGGGTAGCACTCACCCTTAATCACAATGTTCTTGCTCCTAGCATTGCAGCATGAATCAATCCCAGCATCATACACTCTAGATCCAACTACCTCTGAAAAAGCCCCACCTATTACCCCATGTTACTATTAGGTTATTTTCTTAAATATTTGTTTTCTTATACTTATCAACTCTTTCCTTGATGTTTTCTGCTTTCTGTTTGCTTATAACTTTTTTTAACCTTAAAAAATAGGTACCTTTTTTGGGGTGCATCTCTATGATTTTATTGTTATATTTAAATATATACTCTATGTACAGCTTATTTCTATGTTAAGAGTAAGGTAAGAATCAAGTATTATGTTTTCTCAAATATCTGACCAGTCTTCCCCACGCCAGTTTATTAAATATCTTTTTGAATGAACTTTGTGTTGAGCCCAAGTCCGTTTACTCACCATTTGAAAAGAAGCCCAGTGAGTCAAGGACAGGTTTTTGGGGTCAGGCAAAAGGCTTATTCAGTAAGCCAGCACAACCAAGAAAATAGCAAGCTGGTGCCCAAAGAAAGCCATCTGAACTCAGCCTAAGTTTCATGCTCCTTCAATCCTTAGACCCAGGGGAAAGAAGTAGACTTTAGGAAGGCTGGTATGAAATGCTGTGTGGTTGACAATCTGTGTCATGCTCCCATAAATGTTGAAAATAACAGTTGCTCTTACTTTGGAATCTTTGGCTTTGAAAATGGAAGAGAAAGATCTAATTGGGGAAGTTTTGAGTAAAGCAACATTTTGCTACCAGTTCCTAGTAGATTCTGTAAAAGACTAACGTATCTACATGCAGAGTTGCACAGAAACAATCTGACCTAAAGGTAAAGTAGCAAAGGAGACAGGTAATACAGAGACAGAGGTATAAAACTTTGTCATCCTGTTTTAGTCCCCATCAGACACCTACAGAGGCCCAAATGAAAAGTTAGTGCTTCCAGCACAAGCAGTCTTTAAGTCCCTATGAAGTCCCCTAGGTGATCATTGTCATTATAACCCATACTTAAGTGGTGGTTTCTTTCAGTGTCATGTGCAGCAAATCTACTGCATGACCTCAAAAATGATGTTTGGCTGCATGACCTCAAAAATGATGTAGTGCTTTTTAAGGTCTGCTACAAGCAGGCAAAGTTTTGTTTAGGTTTTCCCTTGGTTACAACTTGAATTGCCACTTTTGTGCTAAATTCTATGTAATGTTGAGTCTATTTGTTTCATAGTACTTCTATTGATTTATCTATTACTGCTTCATTGTCACAGTTTACATTGCTGATTTTTCTATGAACATGTTTGTTATTGGAGTCTGTGAAACTATGACACTCATATGAATTTATTCATGTATGAGTATTGCATGATAATTTGTGTGTGTGCATGTGTGAGGAGGTGGAAGGTGATGGGGATGGTTCTCAGGGCCTGTGTGTGCTAGGCAAGCCCTCTACCACTGAGCTACCGCCCCAGCCTTTATAATGTGTTTTAATAATTGGTGCTGCCTCTTTTTCCTGCTATGACTTTGTTGGCAAAGATCATAAATTCAACCAGATAGATTTTAGAAATGTTTGTATCAGTTTCCCCAAACATCCTTTTTATATTTTGATTGGGATTTTATTCAGGAAGAATTGGTTTCTTTATAATTGTGAATCCTTATATTTAAGCACATAGTTTTTCATTTGTTGAAATCATGTTTTATATCCTTAATATTTTTATAATTTATCCATGACTATTATTGTTTGTTTCTCTTAGAGAAATGCCTTTTAAATTTGATCAAATTTTTTTAAGTACCTTCTGGGAAAAATGTCATATTTATAATCTATGATAGATTATAAGCTATCTCTCTATGCTAACAAGCTTTATTTCCCATCATCCTTAAGCCAAATTAGATCAGGATTTCCTTCTGAAAGAAACTGAAAGTTCAGTTACTGAGTATGTTACAGTGAATTTCTGAGGAATATGATAGTGAACTGTTGACCCAAATTAGATGTGAATGAAAAATTGAAGTTTTCTATAAAAAATTTAACTGTTCTACTACAGCATCTGGGCAATTTTTTATTGTGACAAAAACAGACCTACAGTTGTAAAACAGTTTTATCAGGCGTGCATCTGCCAGGCTGCTGGGTTTCCTTGGTTGGACCATTTTTTGATCCTTTTCATTTTGCCTGAGAACGTACTGTCTTTATCTGCTACTTATGTGAGTTGCTTTAATGCTCAAACCTATCCATCCCAAGTGGAATGATAGTAGTAAAAGCAGCTACATTTACTGAGTCCTCCTGTGTGCTAGGCACTATCTTAAGAGTTTCACATATGTTATTATCTTAAATTCACTGAAGGACTTTCTAAGGAATTCTCATTCTACAGATCAGACAGCTACAAATAAGAGGTAGAATTGATAGTTAAGTTAAATATATACAGTTCTAGGCTCTTTGGGGCTATGGGCTATATTGCAGGTTACCCAGGGTATGTGTGTGGTGGTACTTGTAGGTGTAAGCATGTGGGTGTAATCTGGGGGTGAGTAGAGGCAGAAGTGGTCCTAGCTGTAGTGAATCTGTTGATACTGTTGATATACACCGGGCTTTTGTAATGCAGTGCTTCATTCTCAGGAGCTATTCTCCATTAAGTACACTAATATGTTTTTTTTTTTTTTCTGGTACTGGGACTCGAACTCATGACCTTGTGCTGTGCTGCTGAGCTAAATCCCCAGCCCCTATGCTAATATGTTTTAAATTTTTATCTTGTAGATGTTTGCTGAATTGCATTATTTTGTAGATTCCAGGGTCACATTTTCTGGGGAGCACCGTTAAGCCTACTAATCTCTAGACAAGATTATAGGATAAATCATTATTTTGGGGGAAAGTCTGTTTTCAGTTCCTTTAGATCTACTCATTTAATTAGGAATAATATTCTGCTTATAATTACAAGTTATTTTTACATATTCAACTAGTTCGACCCTTTAGTATTGTGCGTAGTATGATACGCTCTCAAATTTAGCAAAATATTTTTATAAACATTCTGTGATTCAGAGAGACTTTCTAGACCAAATCAATGTTCCTTATTGCTGTATGTTTTGAAATATTTTAGACATACTAACAGACATAAATAATAATATATTATCCAAATACCTAACATCTTGCTTAAGGGAATGAATGTCACCAAATAACAGAAGCTTGTGTGTACCCCTTCCCAAATGCATAATTCTTCCTCTGTCTCAGAACTAGTAGTTAATTATCTGCTTTTCAATATAACAAATGTTTTTGAGCTTTGTAGAGATTATAGTTTACTCTGCAATGTGCTTTTTCTCACTCAGCATAATATTTTTGAGATTTGCCCGTATTGATGTGTGTAGTTCTAGTCTGTTCCTTTTTAATGCTTGTAATAATTTGTTATATGAGTATGGCATACAACAAATTAATTGTTTATTCATTCTCCTATTGATGGATGGTAGTTAACAAACCATTCTGCTATTCTTTTACAGTTCTCCTGTGCACGTATGTTAAGAGATTCCACAAGATGCCTGCCAAAGAATGAAATTGCAGGATTAAAAGGTATGCATATTTTCAGCTTTGCTAAACATTACCAAATTGTCACCAAGAGTGTTATCCATTGGGATGCCACTGAGAATCTAATCTCTCATTGTTCTGTACTCTTGAGAATACTAGATATTGTCAGACCTCATTGTGTTATTTTGTAAGTAACAAATCTCATTATTATTTTGAATCACAATTAGTAATGAGGTTGCATGTCTTATGTTTATTAGTATTACAGGTGATTGTTTGCTAATACTGCCAGCCCTCCTTGTCCATGTGTTCTTCCTCTGTGGATTCAACCAATTGCAGACCAAGAATATGGGGAAAAAATTGCATCTGTACTGACCTGTAGACTTTTTTTTCATGTCATTATTCCCTAAATGATACATTATAACAATTAACTACATATCACTTACATTGCACTAAGTATTATAAACAATCTAGAGATGATTTAATGTATACAGAAGGATATGCTTAGGTTATATGCAAATATTATATCATTTTATATAAAGAACTTCTATATTTTTAAATTTTAGTATCCATACTTTTATTGTATATTACAGTTGATAGTGAGATGCTACGTTGGAAGTAGCAAGATATAGCTATTACTAGATAGCACTATATAATATTTGTATCTTTAAAACATTGGCACATACGCAGACTTTTTTAAGTTATACTTTTTGGCAATTTTCTGATAGTATTTTAGAAAACGTGGAATTAAATTGATGCTTAAATCTTGGCTCTATTATTTACCAACCTCACGACCTTGGGCAATTTATGTAATCTCTCTATTTCTTTATCTTTGAAATAGGCATAATCCTTCATGGTTTGATGAGAGAATTAAGTGAGATAATATTAACACCTGACATATAGGCCTGGTACTTAGTTTTTGGAAGAGATATATATATATATATTCAGCTTCAGTAATGTAAAAAATGGATAATACATGATAGATATGTAAATCAGTACTGACATCCAGCAGCATGTGTGAGACTGAAATGTTACCTATTGATAGTTGATTCTGATATGAGTTTGCTTTCATCTCAAGGCCAAGCAGGAGCCCAGTGGTATGGAAAATCCAGAGCCATCCTGTGTCTGCCATTTATCTGTGTTTGGCTGGTCTAGTCTTCTCTGTCTGTATACATATGCGTGCACAAGCCTGTCTCTTCTGTGCTTTGTCAGTTTTCTACAGGCCAAAACATCTGTGACAGTGACGGAACTCTCTGGGATCACAGTGGTTGCATGGGCATGACCTTGGGACCCTTCTGAATACCCTGGAATTTGGCCTCTGTTTGGGAACTTCATCAGTAACCATAGAGTGTGGAAGAAATTGGTGAGGTGCTTGAGAGCTGATAATGGGACTGCTGAGTAGTCACTTATTAATGATTGTGCATTGATTCCATTTGTTCTTACATCTTTTGCCACAGGAGATTCTTCACATGGCTGCTGAAGAAGTGACCATTACAATTCGCCTCATTCGTTCATTTGAACACCGCAATTTCAAACCTGTAGTGTATCATGGAGTTAATTTGGACCAAACTGTAAAGGAATTTATAGCATTTCTAAAGCAAGGTATGGGATGTTAGGATCATTTTCTTTTATTAGTATTTTGAAAAAAAAAGTTGGCTATGATATTAATCTTTCGAAAAAGCTAGGCATGGTGATTTAGGCCTATAATCACAGTGTTCTAGAGGGCTGAGGTAGGAGGATCCCAAGTTTGAGTACAGCTTGGGCAACTTAGTGACTTTGTGAGGGTTGACTCAAAAACCAAAGGAAGCACTGAGGATGTAGCTCAGTGTGAAGGCCCTGGTTCAGTCCCCACTACCACACACACACACACACACACACACACACACACACACTTGTGTGCATGTGCAAATGCAACAATAAAAGTACTTTGGAAGGTATTAACCTGGAGTCTAGGCTAAGTGCTAGACTGACTGCTAGTCTGGCCCTGTCAGCTTGCCAAACTTGCTCAGTGAGTAGTGTGTGCATCTTCACCAGGGAGAGTTGCTATCATATTTGACTAAAAAAATAATTAAGACCAAAGTTTACTTTACTTTTATGTCTTTGGAGGTTAATTAACAAAGGAGTGCATTATAGCTGATTGTGTTACTTAGCGAGGCAGAGGGGATCTATGGGAACATGGCAGGAAGGGAGCAGAGTGGGGAAATCCGGAGAGGGGCTGGGTCATCAAGGTCAGAGAAATGGCAACCATTCTAGCAGTGCTAGTTTATCACTTTACAGTTGGAGTTGGCAAGAAATTAATCTTCACTTAAATAGGTGCTCAAAGGGTTTCTCACCTCTGTTTTTCATTATCGAAGTGTCAGTATTAGCATTTGATAAAAAGCAAGTTGTAGAATAAACTATCATTTCTCCAATGCTCAAAAACATTTATTATATTGAAAAGCAGATAATCATTAGCATTTGATAAAACATCCAGCATAGCTTTTATTACTTTAATTGAAGTGTAATTTATGTACAGTGCAATGTACATATCCCAGTTTATGGTCCCATGGGTTGACAAATGTATCACTTTAGTCTGACTTAATTTTTTTTTACTTTGTTATAATTTCAGACTTCTAGAAGAGTTGTAAGAATAATATCTCTAGATATTTTTATACAAATTCCCCCAATATCAGCATATGGCCTCCTTGGTTTTTAATCCTTCTCTTTCCTCTTTCCTTTTTCTCTCCCTCACTTTCCTCACCACTTCCAGCCCTTATTTAGTTTTTCTTCCTGGACAATTTAGAAGTATATTACTGATATTATTCCCTCTTAACCCTCAATATTTCAGTGTGTATTTCCTAACAATAAGGAATTTACTTTCTCTTACATAATGAAGTATAATGATCAAGCTCAGGAACTTGACATTGTAACAATCCTGTTATCTTCTCTACAGACCTCATTGGGATTTTAATTGTCCCAGTAAGGTCTTCATTATAAAAGAAAATCTAAGGTCCTATGTTGTAGTTAGTTCCTTTCATCTGGACTACTTCTGTAGCTTTTGTTGTGTTTTATCACCTTGCCAAATTTACATAGACCAGGCTATTTTTTGGAATGCTCCTGTGTTGGGTTTGTCTGGTGTTTTCTCATAGTTCAGACTTCAGTTCTGCCTTTTGGCAGGAAAAATCATCAAGTGATGCTGGTGTCTTCTCAGTGCATCACACCAGCATGAGACCCATTTTGGTGGTGACACAGCAGTTGGTTAAGTTGGTGTTTGACAAGTTTTCGTTATAACTGAAAAGTATCTTGCAGGGATCTAGCCTGAGACTACATAAATCTGCTGTTACTTCTCAAACCTTTAGGCACAAGATTAGTGTTGTTTGCTGATTCTTGCCTGAGGTAGTGATGATGATGATTGATAAATGGTGATTTTTCTAATTCTATCATCTTTCTTTATTAGTTAGCTTTCTGCAGTAAGAAAGAACTTTCTACACTCCCTCATTTACTTAATGACTTGTTTATATCACTATAGGCTCATCTATTCTTTATTTAAAGGATTATAGTCTCTATAATACTAGGAGCCTCTTTTCTGTGTCATTTTAATATGTTCCGATTATTCTGAGCACTTCCTTCCTTTTGGGTATAACAAGATATTCCAGACTTATCATGTCTTTTCTCTGCCAGAGGCCTGAGATCAGCCATTTCTCTGAGAGGTCTAATTCTGTTATTGGAGAATAGTATTTGAAAAATCAAGATTCTGGTTCCAGTGTGTGCAATGTAAGTGTGTATAGCTTGCTTTGTATTTGTATTTATTTATTTTGTTTTACTGGAGATTGAACTAAGGGCCTTACATTTGAGGCAAGTGCTCCTTCACTGAGCTACAATCCTAGCCCTAGCTAGCTTTTTAAAAAAATAGTGAATTCTCAACATTTTACTTCCTGTTTTACTTTGTAAAAAAACTTTTCTTCCTAACCTTTCTAATTCCCTTCCTAACCTTTGTAACCTTTCTAATTTTGAGTGGTTTTGCTATTTTGTATTATTTGAGTAAGGAGTAGGCAGTGTATATAGATCTGTGAAAAAGACTAAGATTGGTCAGACTAGGGGCTGGGGAATTAGCTCAGCGGCACAGCGCCTTCCTGGCAAGCGCGATGTCGTGAGTTTGATTCCTGGTACTGGGGAAAAAAAAAAAAAAAAAAACAAAAAACCCAAAAAAAAAGATTGGTCAGTCTGTAACCAAGGGAAAACCTAAACATGTGGTGTGATTAAAAATACAGTGAATGTTTAGATTTTTAAAGCAATGTTGCACTAAAAGACACATTCTCATTAGTCCCCCTCAACATACCCTCACTTCAAACATACTTACCCCATCGTTCTTGCCACTTCGTGAAACAATGTTGGAAGTCTTCTTTTGTGAGTATCTTTAGCTGCCCTGTAGTGGGCAACGTCCTGAATCCATTCAAAGTGTTTACCTCTCATGATTATTTTGACTTTGTGAGCCAGAAGTCACATGATTTCAGATCTGGTAAATAAGCAAATGGGGACACATTGTAATGTTTTCATGAATGAGTCTTTCCATTGGATGGCACTTGGCAGTAGTATTCCCTGAGGATTTCACGGAGGCCTCTGTAGGTGTCTGATGAGTGACAAAGCTTTGAATCTCTTTCTTCAAAGCTTTGCATATCTTTCTTCATGTCTCTGTCTCCTTTGATACCTTGACCTTGGGGTCAGATGCTTTCTTTTCAGCCCTGCATGTAAACATGTAGTTACTTAGGAATGTTTGTCTGGAATTAGTAGTGAAGATTGATTTGCCCTAAATATACTAGTAGTAATCTCACCACACCTTTAAAGTTGAAGAGACCAAGGTAGAAACTGAGATATTGTCAACATTTATAGGGCATCACAACCGCCACATTTCGTGGTGTCGTTTTCTGACTGCTGGAGAGGTGCTGAGAAGACTCCAACCATCAGTCTTCTCCTATCCTAAGACACCTCTGTCCCTCTGCCTAAGGGTAAAAGGAGCTTGAAACTTAATCTAGTTAAAATAAGTTTTTTGGGTGCTGGCCTGCCAGCATCTCATTTTGCTAGCATCTTGGATAAATCTTTTTCTTTGCCCCAACAACTTTTCTTCAATTCACTGGATTCCTTTTTGAGCAGTGAGTAAACAGATTGGGTTCTGTGGCAAGTCTACTTAGTAGTGATTATTTAAAGGATTTCATAAAAAGGAAAGAATTATTCATAAAGGAACTACTGGGTTACATATAGTGCGTACATTTTTATTGCCATGTTCTTAACTGTCAGAGGAAAACAGTACTAAGAGGTAATGTAGGGAAAATATAATATTTTTCTAAACTCTCATGAGTTCTTATTGTAAGGGACCTCAATTACAAAAGATAGATTAACAAGAGAAAAGCAAACAGTTAATTAACAAGTATATTCCATGTATGTATGGGAGATCCCCTGGGATTAATTCTCAAAAAAGAAGGCTTTGAATTCCAGCTTATATAGCCTCTTCACAGGTGCAGTAGATTTTTAGAGAAATGGCAAAGCAAAGGCAAAGGATTTTTGAGTCTTTAGGGGTGGCAACTTATGGGAAGGGAATAGAAAGCTAGCTAGTGAAGCTCTCTAGTGTAAATGCATCTGCTGTTATCTACAGGTGGGTAGGGGTCAGAGTCGTTTTCAGTGGTCAAACTTTGTTCTCCTAGATACAGACGAGAGGGGGCATAAACTTCGCCCAGCTTTTAGGCAAATAGAGGGAGAATTGAGAGCTTTTGTGCCTCTGTTTTTAATCTCAGCATGATCCTTATGACAAAGAAGTATGTGTTGGGGTGGCATGTTCTGGTCTCCCACAGTTTCCGTTGCAGAATGTCCTGCTTTTGAGAGGTTATCACCCAAAGCAAATTCAGGTTTTGAACTGAAAGTAAGTTCCTACAGTAAAAAAATTGTGTGTGTATAAGGGTCACACTCTTTCTTGGTGTTAATATAGCAAGTACTGTGATGTTCTTGGTACAAGCAGAACAGGTTCCTCTTGAAGTCCTTAGGGGAAAAACCATAATTTTCAAGCTGCTCCCTAGGCCGGGAGCAGTCTCTCCAGGCTTACTATGTTCTTTTTATCCCTATTATCAGAATGCCTTCCCAGCAATAGTGGGGAAGCCATCACAGGCAGATAGTGGGGCTGCCTAGGTGTTCACCTGTGACATAACCATGGCAGGCATGTTTCAGTTGTACAGGTGGGGAAGTGTGTTTTACTGACCATAAGAGATGAATTTGGGGGATGGAGACTTTTTTGAACTGCAGGTCCTGTGCCAAAGCTTGCCTCTGTCATCTGACTGGAGGTTCTGTGGAATTCTGAAACAGCCTTGGTGGGCTGTGTGTTTGCATTTTATGAATTATGGGCATTACAAAGGTCAAACAGTTTGACAGCAGGGAATTTTCTGAAATACTAATAATGTTAACTAATAAAGGTATTACATGAAGAATTTTATGTAAGTTATCTCATTTCATCTTCACCCTATCCCTTTTTTAAAATTCTTTTTGTTATTTTGAGATAACTATGCAGTTCAATCTCACTATGCAGTTCAGGCTGGCCTTGAGCTCACTTTGTAACCCAGGCTGGTCTCAAACTCTCA